GAGACTGGAGTGGCGGGGGGGGTGTTTGTAAAGGCGTGTCGGTTGCCAGTCATTTGTCCTTAAAGGCCACCATGAGCCAGAAGTCACTTGGGGTGCAGAACCAGAGCGCACGCACACACATACCCCTCCAAACCTATTGTAGCATGAGAAAAAACATTGCGATCCCCCTTTCGCCAGTGGGAGGAGGGAAGTAGCCTTTTCAGCTTCTGCAAGGACTCAGAAGGGTTTTCAAGGGCCCAGGGTGGGACCGAGGACTGCACGGGGGGGGCAAGCTAGAGGATGGGCCCGGGTGCCATCTGGCGGCCAGTGGAGAACACTACCTTTCCAGGAGCGGCTGCGCTCCCCATCAAGAAAGAGGCTGCCTCAAGCTTTTCTGCCTCGACCTCCGAGCAGGAAGGAGGGGATCCCTCAACAGGTCTAACCAGCGCCAAGACAGGGAAGGGACCACCTGTCCACCCAGAGAATGGCCCGTTCTGAACAGTAAAGCGTTACTTGGCAATCGCATGAGAGTTGAATGCGCAAAACTAAGACAGACTCTCACCTAGACATACAGCCCGAGGAAAAGCAGACCGTTGCAGAAGCGGTGGCACCACCTAGACGCAACAGGAGCACGTAGGAAGAAGAGGTGCTCCTTCACAAATATGGAAAAAGTGCAATGCTAGCCTAGGTACCTTGACACTGAAGTGGGCCCCACCGTGTCTGATGGGGTTTGTTGTTCTGCAAGGTGAAGTCGCTTCCGATTTTTGACAACCTTAATAGCTTTTTGAGGTATGCGAGATGTTCAAGGAATGGTTTCGCATTGCCAGCCCCTGTGGCCCAGCAGGGATTCGACCCCAGGTGTTCTGAGGGGGTTTACTCTGTATTTGACCAGATGTAGGGCATCAGCCTCCATGCAAATTAGCATATGGAAAGCTTTGTATCGGTATCCAAATGTCTTAGATCTGCAGCTTTCACAACAGTCCTGCAAGGTAGCTTGATCCCCATCTTGCCGTGGAGAGTGATGGGGGGGGGCAGAGGGGTTTGGAGATACAACGCAAACCTTGAAAGGACCCGTGTGCATCCTACCAACAAATAGAATCATACTATCTGTAGGATACTGTGCGGGACCCAGTGTGGAGTCGTGGACTCAGGAGACCCAAGTTCGAATCCCTGCTTAGCCATGGAAACTCACGGGGGGGGGGGATGGACTGGTAAAACCACTCCTTCAATATCTCACTTTAACAGTTCTGTTACTGTCACTCGAAGTTGGTTCTGACTTGATGCCGCAGCGCGTACTGCCTCCTCTGAGTAAGCAGGGCCAGAAGGCCTTTTTCTGGATTAACCCGACCAGATTCCCCTGGGAAGCACAGCAGAGCCTTTCCAGGCTTTGTGTGAGCGTGTGTGCGGGACACACCTTCCTTCCCGAACACCTGGCCGAGAGATAAGGCTCCCCATTCTCATTACTTTGACTACGGGTGTTGTCCTTGGATGCAAATGGCATGGAAAACAGGGCAGAAGAGGAACGCAGGCTGGAGGCTTAGCAACACCTGGGGTTCAATGCTGCCTGGTCCAGAGTCAGCCTTGCATGTGGCGGGGGGGAGGGAGATTCCCCTTCTGTTTAACATCGCTCCCCTTCCGGGGTCCTGCGGCTACTGCTGCTGGGCCCTGTGTTTAAGGGGTAACGGAATAAACTTCGGTTGAAGCTCTGCTGGGCGGGGTCCGTCTGTGCTGAGGGGATGGCATCAGTGGCAGACGGCCACTGATTTAAAGGCTTCCTTTTGCAATGTCAGGGTGCTCCCCGCTTCATCGTGGTGCGCGCCCCCCGAAAACCATAACAGGAAGCCTTTAATCAGCAGTAACCTCTCAACGCCTCTGACATCATTCTCATCCCATCTGGCCACAGGATTTCAGCATTTCTCCTTCAAAACATTTTTTTCTTACTCCGCACACTAATCAGCAGTAACCTCTCAACGCCTCTGACGTCATTCTCATCCCATCGCCGAGCTGGCCACAGGATTTCAGCATTTCTTCTTCAAAACATTTTTTTCCTACTCTGCATACAGCGGGACACTCGCTCACTGGGTAAATTCCCCTCCCTGTCGCAGGAGGGAGGCCGACTGGTGTGTCTCGAAAGGAAGTGAGGTGGAGACTGTGACTAATGCCCTGGCTGTTGCCGAATGCCAGCCGGGCGAGGTGAGCTCATGCCAGAGAACTCTCCTCCTCTTCATCCCTCACTTGTTACAGACATCCGTCCCTTCCTCTCCTATCTCTCGGCATCAGTCCAGGAAATTACTTCCTTACTGAGCAAGCTTTTCTTCCAAATTAATCCGCGCCCAAGGCTTGCTTGGGTGTCTTTCTATAAAACCCAAGGAGACAAAACCAGCCAAAATAACATGTGGCACCTTAAAGACGAACCATGATATATTCATGTGAGCTTTCGTGGACTTGTCCCATGAAAATATCATAGTTCGTCTTTAAGGTGCCACATGTTATTTTCGGCTGGTTTTCTCGAATGTTGCCTTCCGTGCTGGCACAGATTACCAGGGCGACCTCTTCTAAAACGGCTTCCAGTAAAAGAAACATTTACAGCCGTGCTGAGGGGAAAGGAAGCATTTTCTTCTCTACCGGCTGGAAAGTGGGTGGAGACGGATCCTGAGCTGTCCCTGACTCTTTGCAAATCAAGGTGGCTGTTTTCTCCATTAAGGGGACAATGGGGGAAAGCCAGGGTCCCTTTCTGAGAGGTAGCCGTTTCTGCGTC